CCCAATTGAGAAATACTGGGCTATTGTCAAGCGGAACCTAAAGAAGACCAAAAAAACTGCTAAGGGCGAGCAGCAGTTCAAGGCAAACTGGCTTTCTGCGGCGAAGAAGGTGGACAAGGTGGCTGTACAAAATCTGATGGCAGGGGTCAAGCGTAAGGCCCGGCAATTCGGATTTGGAAAAGCGGAAGCCTAACTGAATATTTTTCCTGAATTTTATACTAATTGAACTTGAAAAAGAAATTTAATTTGATTTTTTAAATAAACGTTTTACCGATTTACACGCGTTTTCCCTTGACCAAATTTTGACCGTATCACCCTTTAGTAAGAAATAAATCACTTACCGCGTATCAGGCACAGAAAAGGTACAATATGCCGAAAACGACACTTCACACAAAAATTAAGGGAAGCCACGGCAAGAAATATGGAAGGGAAATAGTGTTGAGTGTTGATTTGGAGAACCAGCTAGCGGATTGGGTTTGTATGTGCGCTGAATAGCAGTCCCTGGCAGTCCCAAGACGGCCAGAAAGATCTTGGAAGTTGCTAAAGACCTTGCGTCACTAGTTGGGCGTAAATTTAAAGGAGGAATTCCATCGTCAGGTTGGCTGAAAGGGTAACCACCGATTTCCGAACTACCACGGAAGCGCCGAAAGAATCTGTTAATATGAATTTACATTATGCACTTCACATACACCTTCTGTGTATGAATTAACTTGAAATAAAATGTTAACAAATTAAAAATTGCTAACTGAAACTTATTTCCGAAAAAAAAAACTCCTAAGAGAAAAAAAAATAAAACCGGAATTAAGTTCTGATATTCTGTCATTTTAAGCCCCTAAATTCCCCGGGGGCACCCAGGACATGCCCGGAAGTGGCCAATGTGGTCCAAGGCACTCAATTTTGTTATTGATCTTGTTATCGAATTTGGAAGTAATGTAAAATGTCGCATGATAGGTTTTATTCCTTCCATGTCAAAATTAGGTCCATGTTCCATATAACCTGAAACTTGTTCCGGCCATATCTCTGGAACCAGTTGACCGATTCCAAAAATATTCGATAGCTTTCAATGGGACCACAATACCTATAGTTTGACGTTAAAAAATTTCCAAATCGGGTCAATGATTTCCGAGAATATGAGCCCTGATGAATAGCTAATGCGTGGAAAGTGAACTTTTTTAAAAACGAAGTTAAACTCAAATTTCTTGATTTTTTAAAATAGCAAATTCATAAAAACTGTATAAAAAGGTTTTTTCATGATACCAATAAGCTCTAAACAAAGTTTTTGAACAAATATGGGCTAAACTAGCATTTGCAAAAATAGATCCAACCATCATCATTTTTTAGGTCCAACCAAGATCATAATTCTTTGCTGAATAAAAACGTTTTATAAAATCATTTGTTCATAATATTTAACTTTTTATGTTATTATTAGAAACAAGAAACGTAGATCTTTCCCCTAATCACGCATTTTTCATAATTATATGTTGAATTCATAAAAAAATACGACATGAATATTGACGAAGTGTGAAACCGGCCTAAATAGGTCCAACCATCATCAGTTACCCTACTCACATGAAAAAAAAATCAGACCGACTGGTTGAAACCGCGCCGAGAATAAGCGGTGGGTGCAACTCAGTGGGTAACGCGTTCATCGGGGGATAGCTGTACAATGCATTTTTTGTTTATTTATAAGAGTGGTTCCAAATGAAAGTTTTCAAATATTTTTTAAAGTCTGAAAAACGTGATGTATGCGAGCCATTTATCGTAATATTTTTTTTGTCTCTTTATTTAGGAGATCTTTATCGTAATAATACCGAGAGTGATATAAACCGAAATGCATCACCATAACTAGCTGTCCTTATACCACGTTGAAAATTAAAGACGGGAGGAGGTTGGCGAACGTCCACTGTTCGTATATTGCCTTAGAAAATTTATAAGGATGTTTGTCCATGCAGGGGTAGTCTAAAAAGTCTCAATAACTGTCCACATGGCATGTGAACAGCCCCTTACAAATCGTAACCTAATCACAATATTTGAACACTTCGGTTGAGAGATGAAGCGAGAATCCTAAGATTTTCCCATGTAGTAATCAACCGAAATTCCCCTACAAACTTCAGCAAACCGTTTGCACAGCCTGTAAATAGTCTTACTCATTATCCTTATCATTGAAATCGATTCCAAATGTGATTCATAATTAACATAGGTCTACACACATATTCTTGTTTACGCTCGAAGCGTATGTTTCATACAAAATCAACTTTTCGCGGAGCTATCCTTATCCATACCTTGCACTCTAATACCTGCTGTTGAAGCTTTAGCATAATATGTTCATTGCCATATTCATCATCATGCCTATCTTGATAGTTCTATGTGTTGATGTGTATGTACTGTAGTAGGTAGATGAACAATGTTGAGTTTCGTGTGTTTCAGTATACATGTTGCATTCCCATTCACAAAGAAAAATAGTTTTACGCGGGCATTCAACATCGACGTAAAGGAGAAATAAATGTAAACGAAAATGTTATGATGAACTGAATTTCATGTTTTTTAAACTTAAACTTTGTCAAAAGTGATGCTCACATATAATCGGTACAGTTGAAAACCGGAAAACCTCACACGCGACAATAGATTTTACTCTTGTTTTGTACGATAAACATAGTATCGGATATAGTGCGCTGTATTCGCACAATGATGCACTATAATGCGCAATATGTCCGACTTTATGTTTAACGTACAGAACGAGAGTAAAATCAAATGTCGCGTGTGGGGGTTTTCGGTGTCCAACTTGACCGACAATACGTCAGTTTCAGAACATCAAAATTTCCATGAGTTTTTCTTAGTGTGTAGGTAAGTTTCATTCCTTCTATTTATATTATAGCAACATAAATTTTATTATAATGTGTATGGATATTTAAAAACATATTAACTTCTATGCGATTTATTATGGAATTGAACATGCAAATAGATGCAACGAATAACATCCAGATACAGAATGTAGGACGAAGAGCTGTATACAAATGGGTCGTTAGATTGAGATAGGCTAAATTGATCGATCATCAGGTCGAAATTGTGACAGCAACAGGGATTCCAGGCTTAATTAGAAACAAATCTTCAACAATATCGATAAAATGTCTTCACATGTCTCAACTGCTACTTTTAAAATATGCGGGTTGGGGAAGGTGTTCAATATTTCAGATTCATAAAGCTAAGCCTTTACACAAGTCCAGGGAACAGTATACAGTCAACTCTGTCTATCAGGCTAATCTTGTTCTCGATCCCTCTATATCTCGATGGTCCTTTCAATATCGAGATATGGTGAGTTGACTGTATAAGCTATCGAAAAATCATTGAAATATAGGGAGTTCCGTGAAATTTGACGGAACTTCCCACAAGTTCAGGGAACTACGAATAAGCTCAACAGATTGGAAAACCGATCGAGGAGCTTCGTTTGAGTTCTTGGAACTGAGTTATGTTTCGAGACACTTTGTGGTCTATAAAATTTATTATAAAGATCTTAAACTGTTTAAAAATGCCAATGACGACCACAGATATTTTCCTTAGATGGCAGGATAATCAGAAATTATTCAAAGTATGTCCAGTTGATCGATGATTTCAATTAAGTCCTCTGGATATTGTTTCTAGGCTTCATCAAGTATTATTGTGAAGGTCTTCAATTGTTCAAAAATTTCAATTGTCGACCCTCAGATATTATTTCAATAATGGCACGTTGATCGGCATTCTATAGGTCTCCAGCTTATCGAAAATTAAAAAAAAATCCTGCTTATTTTCAGGCCGATCAAGTATTATACTGATTTTGGATACTTTATTCATAGTCGAAATTTTCAAGAAGGAGCTTCGATATAAAGTCAAATTCTTCCTCCCTATATAAAATATCTTCATACGTTTTAAAAACTTCAAAAATCTTTTAGGAGTCTTCTCACTTTCAGCATGTCTTCAAACATTTTCACAAAACATTAAATGTCTTCAAAATTCCTGCTGGAAAAAAAGAATTGTTCATTGAATTTCTATTCAATTCTTGGCTCAATTTGGGTAAGTGAGCCAGTTTTTGGCCTCAGTGGCCCTTTAATTGGCCCTATCTTAATTTTTGTTATTATTAGTTCTTTACCAAATTTATTTCGATACTAGGTTAGAGCTTAGATTTTTCCAATAAAACCATGAAAATTTATTTCAAATTTGAGCTAGGTCCTAAGGCCAAAAACTAGAACTCTAGTTCCATAACTGGCACACTTACCTTATATTCACCTTACCATCTATATAATATATAAACATCATCGCTCACGTCACAGAAAGCAAGCCTCATTAACGAAATAAAGGACATAGGGGAAATGTTTCTAATGTTGGCCTATGGATCTAAGATTGGGCCCATCGCTAAAAATCTGCTATTTATTAATTTTATCTAGATGAACGCGTTATTGGGACGTTACTAATGGATATTTGAGGTTGCTATTGAAAATTTAGTCGTTTGCTGAATTTATGTATGGGCCCAAATTAGGGACACTTAGGCCGACATTACCTGCATTTCCCCTATGAAGGAAATCTTAGTTCAAAAACTGTTGTAGACTCCGCTGAGAGTTTATTTTTTTGTTGCGTTTTTCTGTTTTGCTTTCATATGGTTAAATAGCCAAATGTACAATACACAATAGAAACCCTGTTTTTATCACTTTAATGCACAGCTAACCCCATAAAGCTTTGGATGACATGTAACATAAACGGTCGCAAGCAGTAGTACAGTAGTACATACATGTGCCTATAAAACCACATGCAGCTGATACTTATCAAGTTCATGACAGCCACTTATGCTCAGCACCCCGGAACTACTCCTAGCCGGTTAACTGCCTAATACGCACCTCCACTTAGCCAGTATGGTACAGCCGTTTTTGTTTTTGGAAAGTGTTTTTCGTTGTTCTTTAATTTTATATCCTCATCTTCTACATTTTATTGATAAGCTCTTGTTCTTTCTTTCTCTCTCACCAATGTCGCAGCAACTGGTTGGTGACAATCCGGACAAGGAGAAAATCGTAGCCGAGTTCCAGAGCCGACTCCACGACTCACTGAACAACAAGAATCTGAAGCAATATGTTAAAGCATTTCAAAAGTGTGTAGAACTACATAATGTTCAACGGTGAGGTGATAAAGTATATTTCTCATTTGATTTTCCAGCCGTGAGAACTTGTGTTTGAAAAACTGTAAGATTGATCTACTGTTGATCACCGGTGTCATGAGCCCGTACGCCGGGGTTGTCGAAAAGATGTTCAGAGACCTGAACAAGGAGAAGGTCACTCTGCTGAAGGTCGAGCGTGCTGGTGACGTTCTGGCGGATGCTGTAAGTTGCGTTCATAATCCAGGTTTGTTATGAATACTGAAATTATGGTTTACTTCTAGCCCGCCAAAGTGGCTCAGTCGATTTTGCTCTTCTGCAAGGGCCAAGGTCTGCTGACTTCGGTTGTCTTGCCCGGAGTGGACCGCAACAGGGCGTTCTCAACCAGCTCGGGTGGTTCAAGTGATGGAACCCCAGGCGGACGACGCCTATCCCGTGGAATGTCCATGGAAGACTACGATAAGCCCAACATCAGACGGCTCAGCATTACCATCAATGAACAACTACCACCGATCAAGAAGTAAACCGGTGGAGCATTGATCAAAATTGTAGTGACTATTTCTACCTTGATTAACAAGTATATTTTATCGAGAAAAGAGAACGAGCAGTTGGAGGGAATAAAGTAAACAAACACAAATATACATGCAAATTACACGTACCCACATGCAGGTAAAAGCCACAAACAACACTCTGATATCAACTTTTATAGATGTACGTATTTTTTTATCAAGCCGGTAAATGTAACAACAATGAAGTACACCGTAGACACAGTTCATATAACCAAACAACAAACTAGTTCGAGTAAAGTAATATTAAAGGGAAAACCTGTAAACCGACTATTCTAAAGCTAAGCAAGAAAACAGTATAAATATACACTCTTTGAAATGAAACAGCAGAGTAACTTTTGTAACAGCCACTCATCATCGCCCCCAAAAATCCAGAGTCTACCAAAAATGAAACACAACAAACTTAAAGCAGCCTGAAACTAATCCCACGAAGCCCAACAACACAAACGAAAAACATTAAAACTTTATTCGATTAGGATTTATTTTTTGATTATCAGAGTCTATATACCATCTTCTTATACCAACTACTGATGAAGTAAATTTGAAAAAGCTAATGAAAATTACCGATTAGACGAGAAAAATTGATAGAGTAAAATCGTAGGGTCGTTAGAAGCTATACACTCATTAAAATGATAACAAAACAAAGAAATTATACCTATATATAGAGTTAAGCGACTCAAAACCAACAAAAAAGCCAAAAACTAAAGACCCAAAGAGGAAAAGGATAAGTGCAGTTCTGGCTTCAGTAATCAAAATTCAACAAACAGCATTGGTAGAAAAAAATTGGGCTCACCTGCTATTGTATTGCACCTTTAAAAAAATGATTAAATCACATCAAATTGGCTAGAGTTTAAAAATCCACTTGAAAAAATAAATTCGAACAAAACAAATCACACCCAAAAATGCTAAAATAATAAAAAAATATGTTGCGTTGTTACTCGCCAGCACGAGTGAAGTAAATATTGAAATTTTATTTGTTTTGATCGGTTATACTGTCGTAAGTAATTTCAATGATAACAAATAAACTTATTTAAACGGTATTACTAGTGAGAGCGATTGGTATTTCCGAGACTTGCTTTGCAGATCATCACATCCATGAGTTTGATGGAGACGCAGAATGTCCCAGCGGTCCTTTTCAAAACACTTCGTGGGATTCGTCGGGTGTTGAAGATTTATCTGATGAGAAAGTTCGTTTGAAATTGATACAATTTGACATAACATTATTGCCCGCATGCATACCTTCGCAATCCATCTCAGCCTCCAGGTAGTCCATCTCTAGGGCAGCAAGGTTTTCCCGTACTTCGTTGAACATCGCCTTTTCCATGCCCTCGTGACACGAACCAGTGCGCGCTTCAAGTAGGTTCATCATATCGAACTTCTGAATCAGCCTGGCCCATATTTATCAAATGGCCGAATTTGACGCCAGCATGGAAACCCCTCGGTGGACTGGCACCAGATCTCCATCCGCAAAATTAACCAAAAATCTGATTGATACCGACCTGTAGAAAAAGGATATCATGTTCATCATGGCACGCTTTCAAAAAAAAAATACAGCAAAGGTCTCAGTCATCTCTAACCTTGAACCCGGTGGGATGTCAATCGACGAAGCGGAGCATGTGCTTGTACTTCATATCGGAAAAGGCGGCGTTGACATCATATGGCACTACATCACCGCGGTACAGCAAACACATGCCAAGTACCTACTTGCCGGTTTTTAGGTTACACTTTACCATCTGGTTGTTGGCTTCGAACAGGTTCGATACGGTCATAGCTGGAAACGATAAAAAATGTGGTCAGTTCACTGTCCGTGGTGTTTATTCCATCGCCTTCTTTTTCTTAACTCGATTTTGAAGGGACCATCGAATTATAGAATTATCGACTTACACAATAGTAAACAAAACTGTATCGTCTTTAGTTTCATTAATAATATCGAATTACTCCGTTACTGAAATATCTGCCCATATTTATTCATATGAATTCTAAAAATGGTTTAAGGAGACATTTAGCTAGTTTATAATAAACATAAAGCCAATATGCATAATACACGTAATAGAGCTGTCAGTTCTTCAAATTTATTTTGTCAAGATATCAAAGGTTCTGGTCATTTCTGGATGTTGCACTACACTCGAAACATTTTCAAATCTAAATAGATTAAAAGCTGCTCTAAATCGCAACTCTCCTGCCCGACGCATCCCCGACTAAAGGATTATACCAAATTGATAACAAGTTCTAATACCCGATTATCAAGATTTTATAACTAAACATGTTATCAATTTGGTTGAATGAACGGCCAGCATAACAAAAATTATAACAAAAAATGCTCCTGCTACCGATTTAGTTATCATTGAAAACATCTTGATAACAAATCCAGTGGTTCATGCAAATTTTTTCAACAAACTTCAAATTATTTTATCGATTTGGTATGAAAGCCTTACGCTGATAACTGAAATATGATTGGTCTTGTTTTTTTTTTCTTTTATTACCATATGGATAATATTTGAAGTTTTGAACTAATCTTACATCATTTCAAATTCTTTCATGATACCGACTGACAGTTCTCAAACTGATTGTTGCCCATAAATGCAGGCAGTGCTGGCAGTTCTTGTACTGCACTGCCAATATTGTATGCAAGTTGTTTAGATGAAATGTTTCCAACACAACGTAGGTTTAAATAGACAATGTAAGGGAATAAAAATGAGTTAGTGAAGTTCCTACCGCCAAGAAATAATGATAGTTTACAAATTAAATAAAGTTTTGGTGATCTTGAATGACTACTCCACCGTTTTTGCCGACTAGTGTCCGTGTGTGATCCCGAAATACCCCACCGGAAAACCTCGATCCTGCCCATCATACTGGTGCCGTGACCAGGATCAGGTTTCCTCCCAGAAATCCCGCCATCGCACTACGGAAACTAACGCTACATTCGCCATCATCCCGATCTATTGTGATCCCATCGGCATTCAAGTGATCGCCATTCTTCTCGGATCCACTTGTGCTTCACCGCCATCGAGAATTTTGAAACCCGTAAACGTTCGTGCTTGGATTTATTAAATACAAGGCCTAGTACCCTTAGGCACACGGTACGTAGTATTCCAAGTTGTGCAGGAGTTCCCACTGGTGCTTTTAGTTTTTTATTTCAATTTTATTCCGATTCTGTGATACCGCATTAACCTCCAACCTGTCCGGATACACGCCCCGCTGTTGAGCTAACCCGTCCAGGAAGTGACCACCACTAGTTCCAGTTAAAGCAACCGCAGTTAGTTCCGTTTTTCCCGCATCACCGCGTAGACCAGTTCCAGTATTCAAATAAAATCCAAAGGCCTAATATTAGCCTTGAGAAGGTTAGTACCGCTCTAATATCTCTACTCCGTTTGTCCGGCTCTACCGGGTCTTTCTCTGTGTAACCCTATCTAGTGCACTCATCGACACTCTACGTCCAAAATGGCGGACGATCGTACGAAGCAGCAACTCATCACCCGGCGGACAATCCTCATCGCTTCCTTGGGCAGAACGGAGCAGTTCGTTGAAATTTACGCTGCATAACGAGATCGAGGACAAGTGCAACTACGTCTCGATAATTTGAACACCGTGTGGATGGGATGGCATAATGAAACCCACTACTTCGTAATAAAGGCTGCCCTTTAATCGTACCTCCCCCACTGTACCTTCTTCCACATGCTCAATCCCTCAACCTGCTGGCTTTACAAGTTTACAAATTAAATAAAGTTTTGGTGATCTTGAGTGACTACTCCACCGTTTTTGCCGACTAGTGTCCGTGTGTGATCCCGAAATACCCCACCGGAAAACATCGATCCTGCCCTATCATACTGGTGCCGTGACCAGGATCAGGTTTCCTCCCAGAAATCCCGCCATCGCACTACGGAAACTTGGCTCTCGGGAATCAAGTTACCGATCAATGAGATATACATGTTTTCCTATACTGCAAAGTTAAATGACTGTCCAATAGCTTCTACATGTCTGTTTACACGCGACATATGAACAAACGTCAAAAATCGTTAAAAGCTACTCCAATAAAATAAACATAATTATCTTATAAGATATATCTTTTAGTGAGCAATATTCATCATGAAAACAGGTATATTTTACTGAATTTTCTCATAATGCTAACTTATATGATTTTCCATTAGTTTCTAGATGTCTGTTCCCACCCATTACAGTTTACCAGTTTTTCCCCATAAAATATATCAAACAATATTCATATACATCTTAACTATCGCTAACCACGCAAAGTATTATCAACAATCAATACGAAACGAACGATTTTAAATTGGCTCACTACTTGCCTAGCCTATGGGTCCCAAGCAAATCGACTAACGTACCCCATTCTAGTATAAATTCCAGTACTACACTATGTTTGTTTTGATTCGCTATGAAAGTTTGATAGATAAAATGAGGAGTTAGTGGATTTTCCTATGTTTCGAGGGGTGAATCGATTAGCTTGGGACCGAAGATAGTACCAGAGCTGAGCCAAAAAGTTGAGCTCGTTTCTTCGGGACCTTCTGGTCTTAGAGTTACATCTATGGTATAAACCCAAGAGAGAGGAGCCAGCTCAAATGACAGATGCTTTGTTTTGGTTGTCTTCTGCTTCTTCCTTTTTGTTGAAAAAATTGTTGATGGAAAGAATCATTCAAGCGAGGATGCGCGTTTGTCACTCGGTTTGTTGATATAGTTTTGCCGTCGGAGTGTTCAAACTTGTCGTGAACTGTATGTTGTGAGCAAGTATCTTACTGCATATTGCTTAGAGCTATCGGGTTCGTATTAAACGGGTTTGATTTTGTGAATTCTGGTGATTAGGAGGAGGTTAAAAGTGATACACAGCAGGTAAAATGCGTTGTCAAGTGAAGCGTTGCGGCCGGAACAAGAAAACCCACCCGGATGTGTTGTTTCACCGGTTTCCAAACGATCTATTGCTTCAAGCACGGTAGGTTGAGTTTTGTAATGTAGGAGCTGATTTTATTGTCACAGATGCAATGAGAGTATGCAACGTACGTAAAGAATACATATGCAAATAATCATGAAACGTGAAAAATTAGAAATGATTTACTGTTTTGCAGATGCATTTTGATGCGATCTGTTATGCTAAGGCTGTCAAAAGCACCAGATTGAGCAAAACTGCAATCCCTACATTGTGTGCTTATTTGATCAATGAAGATGACGAGACAAACGACGAAGACAACGGGTAGCCAGCGATCCTATCGACATCCTTACCACTCTATTCCTGCCCGTCGCTTCTGGATCATACATACGCTGATTTCAAAGCAATCCCGCCGGATTTTCAATTTGATGACATTGAAAACGCGGATCAAGAAATCATTATCGCCACGGAGAATGCGTCGTCAAAGTCAAAAACCGATGATCAAGAATACCTTTCTGGATTCATAGATTACCTAAATGCTCCAAAACGAAATGATAGTGATATTAATGATGATTTTTTGGAAGTTGACAATATTAGTATTGTGGATCTTTCAAATACTGATACATCTACCGTAGCTGAGCGGTATTTAAGTTCTAAAAACAATTCTGAAGCT